CAACACACTTACTACTACAAGTATGACTACTCCCACCATTGGTAAGTTCTCAACAGCTACATCACTTATTCTGCTTATAAGTACACTTATAGCCGTTCTGAGATTTATTCAGACAGTCAGTTAGTAAAATGACTTGCAACTTTGCAAAACACTTTAGTCTTTGCCCATTCTAGACTTGTCAGCACCACTTGATTCTTTATTTTTTATATTTATATTGTAATTATTTTCAGTAATTTAAAAAATCACAAGTTGGGTGTTGCTTAAATCTGTTGAAAAATGTCAACCCCTCGCTCATTTTAGTCAGTTGTACCTGTTAAAAAAATGGACTAGACATAATAACGATCGTCATTTTCAAACTGCAGTTGAAAAAGTGCTTCGCTCAAGGAAGGCACTTTTGATCCATCAAACCATTATAATCAAGTTTTCCGTCTATGTATTTCCAACTTACTCTCCTACCTCTGTATGAAATCTGGATTTGATACATAATGCACCAGTAATGTAAAAACAACTTTTAGTTTGGCTCACAATTTCGTGAAACTGCAACGCGTCCAATGCTAAGAAACTTTACTTTGAGCCTTCTCGCCAACGAGTTCATTAATACCTGGGGGTTGCTCAACACTCGGGAGTTGTTTTGTAAATTGCGCTATGTCAGGTGAACTCAGATGGTTATAACAATTTAAAATAACACTTTGAATGCATATACAACATATAACCTGTTAGTGTATGGTAACCAACGCGCGTCGTTTCCAAAACACTCTTTTACCCGCATCTAGCAAGATAATAGAATGATCCCAATTGTGGGTGTGCCAATACAATGGCGCCATGAAGTCTAGATTGGAAAAGACCCAAGTGTTTTGCAAAGTTCCAAGATATATTGCTGACTGACTGTCCGAATAATTCTCAGAACGGCTGTAAGGCAAATGTGTAATTTGACCTGCAGTTATTACTATCACACAAAAATCATCACTGTTTTGCCTTATTCTAGAAATACACTTGTGTATTTGGCTAACACTAAATATGCCTTTAATATAAAAATGCATTTTTCCATGAACACATGCATTTATAACAGGATAAAGAGAAATAAGAGAATTGATTGCATGATATCACTGATCAAAGCATTCCTCTTGACAGCTTGTAAAATTATATACATAATTATATATTATAGTTATAGTCATAATTTCACCAGTTTTACAGTGTTCTAATCATATATGTTGTGTTTAACATAGCTGTTGTGACCCAAGCATCAACAACACTTACCCAGCAGCCAACTGTGGTGACAGTATCTTCCGCTCAGGCCGCTCAGACCATAGCATTACAACAGAAACTACTTGCACTGCAACAGCAACAGAAACAGATTCAGGCACAGCAACTGAAACAACAGCAGCTGCAGCAACTACAGCAGCTAGCATCTATACAGGGTAAAGACAAACAGTTGCAGTCACAGTTCCAACAACAGATGTTGCAGAAACAAGCTCAGATTAAGCAGGCTGCTGCAATTGAAAGCATGCGAGTCAAACAAAAAGCAATGACTCCAGAAGAAAAAGCTGAACAACAACGGTATGATATTTAGTTATTCCTGCTTTGTTTCTCATTTCACTGATTTAAACGTTTTTTGCATCAGTCCCTGTGATATCACGTCATTTACAAGTGACCCTGCTATTTTGACCAGTCACATAGCAATGAGTCAAAATATCAAGAATTATAAGTAAAACAGCACAATATCAGTGTTGTTTTGTAATAAACTCTTTAGCATACATGGTTTTACAATCTATGATGTAGTGTGGAACAAATACAGATGATTACGCAGCAGATTTTATTATATCATTTGGAACTTGATTTGCTGCTTCATGCATGCATTGCGAGTGTCCTATGAACATCACACATTCTTGGTCAAAGTTTGTTGATACTGCATTTGCTCAATTTAAAACTACCGTAAAACTCGATTAATTTGCGGTAGTAAAAATAATTATTTTTTCAAGTGCCCGAATTAATAGCGTAAAAACGGAAATTATTGGTTTTTGGTGCGCGAATTAAAAGAATACTTTTTGATCGATTCAAAAAGGAGCTGTTTTCATAATTTATTAGTGATTTGTTTTGTTTTCCCAATGAACACTATTACAGGACGTTTTTTTAGTGCCTCTGAGACTCGTGGCTAGCGACATTCATGGCGTGTAGTCGGGCAGAGAACACGCACTGCGTCAAGGACCACGCACCATGTTACACTTGAAATGAAACAGTGAAATGGCAAAGGTCACTCTGTACACAAACAAACAATGAACACGTGGCTACAAAGTAGCCGTCTGGCTGCACTGCCTTTTTTTATTTTTCTTGGCATCACCCAGGCGATGTTATGGCAGATATTACGAAGCCCATCTTGTCAGGAAAAATAACCCTGCGTTGATAAAAATGGTCTCAGAAAATGTTTAGAAAAAATAATGTTTCGCGTTGACCAAATATAATCATGCAAAGTATAAATTCAAAGTGTTTTAATACATTGATGAGAGGTTGCATC